AAAAAAAAAAAAAAATTATTATAAAGGTAATGAACAGAGGGATTACAGTTTCATAAGTCAGGTAAGGAGTACAGTTCTTTTTGGACAGTGTAATCCCTTCCCTCTCTTTCCCAGTTTTTACCTCCCTTCTTCATCCATTGTGTAGTTCATTTCAGCAATTTCTAGTGGATATCACTGCTGCATTTGTTCACCATTTGTCCCTACATTTCTGTGTCCCCCCCTAACTTACTCTCCCAAAGACAGATAGCTTGAAAATTGTTGATTCAGTATGCCTCAGCTAGAGTTGAGACCCACTGTACTACATGCTATGTTTATGACTTTTACTTTCTGTGGCCACATAAACATTTCTGCATTAAATAGTCTATAGATGAGTAAAAGCCTTCGTACCTAAGCTAAAGGAAGCCGTACCATGGCTTGAACTTAGGGCTTTGTGCTTCCATTTTACTTGCTCACCACTGGCACGTTACACTTGAACCATGCCTCCAGTACAACATTTTGCTGATGAATTGGGATAGAATCTTGCAGGCTTTTCTTCCCAGGGCAGGCTTTGGACCTTGACACTATCTCAGCCTCCTGAGTAGCTAGTATTATAAATGTGAGACCTTGACACCTGTGACTGTTTATAAGTTTTCTTGTAATATAGTAGTGTGAAGGAAACACCTAAGGATCAATGAATATAGTGGAGAATCATTACCTTTATTTATTCATTTTTGCTGGGCCTGGATGCTGTCCCTAAGCTTCAAGGCTAGTGCCGCTTCTGGCTTTTTCTGAGTAGTTCATTGGAGATAAGAATCTCATGGACTTTCCTCGGAGCTGGCTTTCAACTGTGATCCTCAGATCTCAGCCTGCTGAGTAGCTAGGATTACAGGCCTGAGCCACCAGTGCCTGGCTAATTATCTTTTTTTTTTTTTGCTCTGGTTGTGTGGCCTGAACTCTGGGCCTGGGCGCTGTCCCTCAGCTCTTCAGCTCAAGGCTAGCACTCTACCACTTGAGCCACAGCGCCACTTCCGGCTT